TCTTCATCAATAAATAGGTTCATGTCACACTTTTTCTTTAAGACTAATGTTAAAGGTCTCAAAAGAATTATCAAAATTTTTATTAAATATTTCATATAAGTGGGGAATTCGCATGATATCCACATGGCATGAGTCTCACACTTATGTAAGATATTTTGTAAAAATTTTGACAAATCTTTTAGAGTCAAACATTTTCGTTTCTTTAACAAATAAGTTATTTTAGTTTCTTTTACGAAACCACCCTCCAAATACAAAGGGTATGTTTGGTTTGACTTTGTAGAGTGATTTTGAATTTTTTTAAAAAAATTCAAAATAATTTTCAAATCACTTTTTCTCTCTTACACATCAATCAATCACTTTTTTCCTCTCCTCTCTCATTCTCAATTACTTTTTCTCTCACATACATCTACTCAATTACAATAAAATATCAAATCATTCCAAACTCACAAACTCCAAAACTACTTTCAAAATACACAACCAAATAAACAAAAAAAAAATTCTGAACTTTCTCTCTAAAACAATTTTTAAAAACTACTCTCTCAAAACCAAACCAAACAAAAATGTTTTTGGAATTCCCTCTCATAAATTATATAAAATTTATGTATTTTAGTGTAATTTAATTGCTTTGTATATGAATTAGCAAAATCACTTGTACCTGAAGTCACTTCATTATTCGAAAAATAATTCTAACGGTTAGATTTATTCAATCTTAATCATCAACTATGTCATATAGAACTTTTTATTTATTATTATTATTTTTTTTATAATTGTTAGATTTGTTCAATTTTAATCTTCAAAAATATTACGTTGAATATTTTTTCAAAGATTGAAATGTTCTATTATATTTATGATACATTATTTTTAAATCCTCAACTCAAATTCAATAACACTAATGCAACAATTCTAAAATTCCAGAAAAATGTTCAGAACTTAAATTAATAGCCAAATATTCACTTAAAATTTGACCCCACAACAACATTTTTAAATACATATACCATAAGTCTAAAATTCTGATAAATTTTCTAATTAATTTTCTGGGACTGTAGATTTTGCCATTCAGATAAATAAATGGCCTTTACATTGTATCTCATGTGGACACTCCATGAATTGTGGACCATGTTAAATCAGATTCAATTTCCAAAGGCTTGATTAGTTCATTTTTCTCAAATAATTTTCATAACTCTTCATTTTACATTAATTAATTATTTCTCTTATGATTGCATATACAATGTAACAAAGTTCAATTGTATCCCTTTGGTAATTTATCCTCAAACATTTTATCTACGTTGTGTTTGGTTGAGAGATTTGAGAGAGGGATTTCGAAAGAGAAATGAAGTGTGAAATTAGGTGAAATGTATGTATATTTTATTCATATTTCATTTACTTTTTCTTTTCTTTTTCTAAATTCCTTCATAAATTTCTCAACCATACACCGTGTTAATGAAACTTCAAGAAGGTCAAACTTATCTGATTTTCATAAAATAATGAGTACACGAATTCATAAAAAATAATCAGAAAATCACTTAAAATTTCTCATCAAAGGCCAAGATTTATTCATATTATGAGCCAACAACTTTTTTAAATAAAAACCATTGATGCGATATTCTAAGCACTTTTTGATTTCGTTTTTCCGGAAAGATAGACTTTCTGTTTATCAAATATTTGGACTTAAAAGCTCAAAATATGAAACAAAAACTCAACCTAAATTCAACCCACACAAACACACGAGAGATTTGCTTATCAACATCTCACATACTTATGATGCTATTGGCGCTTAATTCAAAACAACCAATTGAAGAAAGACATGTGGCAATCAAAACCACATCAGAATATGTATATAGTAAGACACGTGGCAATCAAAACATCAGAATATGTATGTAGTAATTGAGCTGCAGCCACACTTTAGGATATGGTGATTGAAAAGTCAGGAGTTCGAGTTAATAGAGCAGTGACGAATCTTTTAATTGTAATTTAACTATGTTAATATACTAAAAAGACAATGGAGGAAAAAAGCAATACTAAAAAGACGTGGAGAGTTGAAATACTAAAAAGACAATGGAGGAAACTAGAATTTAATATCATCTTTTTTTCTTGTCTTGTCTTTCCTTTTGGTAAGAGTAAAAGAGCCTCAAAAAAAAAAAAAAAAAAAAAAAAAAAAAAAAGATAGTAATAGTAGCAGTAGGAGCAAAATTGAGTTTGGAATTACCCAAAAAAAAAGTCACATTTTTTTCAACTTTATTTATGTAGGGCATTGATTTAGACCCCTTAAAATACCTACCCCACAACCCTCTTACACACATGGAGGTTGGGGATTGGGTGAGAAAAAAAAAAAAGAAAAAAGAAAAGTTGACCAATCAAAACTAAAGGGAGTCAAGGGGGTGATCCCCAAAGGAGGTCTCAACCTTTATTCATTTATGTATTTATTTATTTATTTTTAGTGATTTTTTAATTTTTAAATTTGTGTCAAAATTTTGTATTTTTTAGATCTAAAATCAAATGTCTAAACATTGGATCGGCCAAATTTCATGACATTCCGAGCATGAGTTGTTTTGCCTTTACTCGCGCCTTTTGCCTCTGCATTGCTTGTCCAGAGTTCCAAAAGTTCTACTTAAAAGTATAAATCTTTTTAAAATTAAAAAAAAAAAAAAAAACGACAACAATCCTTATTCTTACAATTATTTCTCATCCTTCAATCATTTTGCATTCAATCTTCTCCTTAATTGGTTTTTCAATTGAAACTTAGGCCTTGTTTGGAAAGGCTAAAAATTAGTTTTTTAGGTTAAAATTCACAAAAAGATACAATATGCTAAAATAGTGAATAAGACTTTAAAACCATAATCATTTTAATTTTTCTCTCACAAATATCACATGCAACTGCAAAAAAATCTAACCATCTTCTCAAATAAAACAAATTTAACTTATTAAAATAGCTAAAAATTAAAATAATCTACTAAACTAACCAACTTTCTAAAGAATAGCTTATTGTTGACTATGGGTTGTTTTGGGAAGTTGGTAAAAAGTTGGCTTTTGACTTTTTACCAAGTTTTTTGGCTTTTTTGGTGACTTAAAAGTATAAATCTTTTTAAAATTAAAAAAAAAAAAAAACGACAACAATCCTTATTCTTACAATTATTTCTCATCCTTCAATCATTTTGCATTCAATCTTCTCCTTAATTGGTTTTTCAATTGAAACTTAGGCCTTGTTTGGAAAGATTAAAAATTAGTTTTTTAGGCTAAAATTCACAAAAAGACAAAATATGTTAAAATAGTTAATAAGACTTTAAAACCATAATTATTTTAATTTTTCTCTCACAAATATCACATGCAACTGTAAAAAAATTTAACCATCTTCTCAAATAAAACAAACTTAACTTATTAAAATAGTCAAAAATTAAAATAATCTACTAAACTAGCCAACATTCCAAAGAATAGCTTGCTGTTGACTATGATTTGCAATTATAGCATTATAGACCCAACAAAGAATTCTTAACTTCATCTTTCTCATCATCCAGTACAAAATATTCTTTGGAAAAAAAAAATGACATCTTCAGAACAATCTGGCAAAAGTATGTGGGGCAGTGACACTGACCATAAAATATTTTAATATGGACAAATGTGAGAAAACCATTCCCCCTTGTAAAGTTGGACAAGGTGAGCGTCCATTCTATATGAGATCAAGATCTCCCCCTTACATTTTTCACTTCTAGGGTTATTGGATTTACTTTTAGGTTTAATTTTGATAATTCGAACTGTTTATATTTTAAGATTTGTTTAGTATATCCTACTTATAAAAAATCAAATTAATCGGATATCAAAAAACATGTGTTCAGAAAACTATTTATGAAATTCTTTAAAAAAATAATTTTTAGTTCGAATTTTCTGAACATATACTTTCTGATATCCGATCAACTTGATTTTTTACAGGTATGATATACTGAACAAATTTTAAAATATCAACGGTTTAGATTATCAAAATTGAGCCTAAAGGTGGACCCAATAGCCCTACAAGTAAAAAATGCAAGGAGGGAATCTTGATTCCTCCAATTAAGTTCACATCAAATGCCATATAATTTTAGCAGCTGATCAATCTTCTAGGCATGTAAGGCCTCGTTTGGAAATAGGCTAATTTAGTAATTTTTTGACTATTTGGCTAAAATATGAGCTAAAAAAAATTAGTATGTTTGAGACGACTTGTTGATTTTTTACGAAAAGATGTGCAAAAAGTAGAGAAAAAATAAAATCTTTGACTTTTTTGTATGAATTGTTGACTTTTTAGCTAATTTAGTAACCTATTAACTTTTTAGCTAAAAGGAAGGGTACCCAAACGAGACCTTAGTCGAGAAAGGGTTTGGCTCAATGAAAGGATCATACAACTAAAAAGACTTATTACTTAAAAGATCGGATATTTGAATTTTATAAAAGCTAAGTATTCCAAATCTTGAAATTATTAGAGATTTATCTGGTCGTTAAGTTTAGGACTTTGGGATTAGTAGACGTATGTGTAAACTAACCCAGACAATCGGTTAATGAAATAAAAAAACTTATTTAGTTGATTGATTATTTAGTAGTTATGGTGGATTCATTTCTCTCTGACTTAACTTCCCCAAAATAATTTCTCCGTTTAGTTGACTTATTTTTATTTTTAGCAAATTTCGTTTTAAAAATTATTTCAAAACACTTTCTATATCTATTTCTAGATCCATCTCGATTAGAAGATCTTCAAAATAATTTTTTTTTAAAAAAAAATCCACTAAAGAAAGAAAAAATCTAAAAAAAAGTATATATATATATATTTATTTATTTATTTTTTAGTGAATTTTTCTTTTTAATTTTCTAAGTCATCTAACCGAGACATATTTAGAAAATAAATAAAAAAATGACATAATTTTTTAAAAAAATTCATTAAACACAAAAAAAAAAAAAAAAAATCCAACTTATAAGCTAGTGCCAAAAGAGTCGTAGTCATAAGATTCATCTTCGTAAAGGTGGAAAAACAAAACTTTGCAGGTAATTTTTTAATTCGTTAAATTAATGAAAAATAAGAAAGATAAGAGTAGGTAACACGAGAGCGAAACAATATACGCTTTTACAAGTATTTGCTAGCTAATAAATGATTTAAGTTACAAAGTTGTAGCAGGTGACACCCCTCAAGACAATCATATAACCAAATGTAAAATCTGTTGCACTAAGCTAATCCATTATTAAATGTTTGTTAAAGAATAGTATTCCCCACTTATTATTGTTCAACTGCCCATAATTTCACATTATTGTCAAAAAATATTTATCTATTTCTATTTTCTCAATGAATTACCTTTAAAGGAGGTTTGGTAAGTAATTGTTTTCATCTATAATGAATCCGGTGAAGTACAAGTACATAATTTCCCTGATCCACTGGTGGGAAGCAAAATTTAGCATTACGTAACACAAAATGACGGTAATGAAAGTTCTCCCATGATTGACTGACTCCCTGCAGATAAACACAATAAAGAATCAATCGCATGAGATTTGCAAGGGTTAAAAACTACTTTATCACTGTGTTCTGAAAATCAAATCATAACTAAAAACCGTGGCGTGTTAATGAGTCTTAACAACTTATGTATGCCAAAGCATAACCGCTTTAAGGATGATGAAAGCAAGTTTAGTTGAGCTTCAGTTAATGTTTCTTCGTGATGCATTAATAATGTTTCCTCATCATGTTTTATGGTCTCTTCTTGTTAGATTATTAGGGTGAGCTAAACCTAAAAGTTGGATGGTCTACTGTTGTTAGGACCACAAAGAGACCGCTTTCTAGTCGGCAGAGATCAACAAATCTAAGTTTGTTTCACCAACTGGGGTTTCAAATATGGTGGTAGCTAGCCAGTCACTATGTGAATTTATTTAGTGGATTTTGTCTCTGTCAATCTTATCCTCTTCAGGGCCATGCTGATGTAAGAAATACAATGGAAACATGGACTCCATGATGTTACGTGTTCTCAGAAACATTTTTCACACAACAGATGAGGGGATTTTGCAGGATAATTTTTTATGAACAACAGCCTTCCCCACAAGAGACTTTAGACGTCAGATCATTCATTATTTTTCAACTTTTTGAAATAGAGCAATGAAAAAAGCTAACAGAGAAAAAAGAGATGAGATTATATGTAAGTAAGCTTGAAATCGACAGGGATGACACGGTGCCTACATATTCCCTATGGGGAATAGAGAAAAAGAGATGGAGACGAAGAGCATGACAACTTCATAGGTCAGCCTCACAACCAAGAAGACAAATCTGATGAGCTTTCAACTTTGGAAAGTAATTAAAAATTGCCGAAAGATGGACACTGAGGGGTCTGCCTGCCTGATAGAAGCCAATATGGACTTTTGTGTAGTCGAAGACAACGAGAATTTGTTCAAAGTAAGATTCAAATGCATGATTGAATGCAAGTGGAGACGAGGATGGAGACACAATACCATATCTTCTAAAAAACCAATGATAAATGAGAGGTATTCTTAAAATTGGAGTAGTTTAATCTAACAGTTAAAACCATAACGCTTGACATATTCAACGAGCATACACGTATTGCTTGCATAAGATGACATGCTACCAATACTACCTATGAGATACTTCGGAGTTGAAAGCCTCAGGCAAAGCCAAATCCTGAGCATAGGATTTGATTACTCTTAGAAAGAGTTCACTATTTTTTTTGAAAGCTCAAAACATGAGATCATGGAATGAGGATCATCTGATGGGAAGATTTTAGAAGAGTCTAATGAATGAATGGTCCAACCTAGATAACTATACTGAGGAAATCTAAGTGCATAGAAGATTTTCACAGAATGGAACATAGATGTGAGAGAAAAACAAATGTGAAACAAAGGGTTTTCTTTCGCATGTATGTCCCATTCTGTGAATTGTTTATTTTATTTTATTTTTTGTTTTGGGTATTCCTAGCACAAGTGCAATTAGACATGCACCAAGCAGGACGTTATACTTCTAACGTGAAAAAAAGTAAAAGGCAAGGAACTATAAGGATTTATGCATATGGGGAGCTGCCCCTAAACTCTATGCATCTCAAGGTCTCTACTTAGAATTAGGGGGGAAAAAAAAAAAAAAAAGAAAAAAGGAAAAAGAAAAAGAGAGAGAATCGAACTTCTTACCTTAAGATCTCCCTGTGATCTATGGGGAGAAAATATCAATGATGCCCAAGAGCCCTCCTTTCTTCTTTATCATTCCCTCCCCCTCAATTTAGTGACAATGAATTTGTGGCTTTCAAGCACAGATTAAGCTTGCTATGGTAAAAATCAAAAGATTTAAAATAGACAAGGCCTGCAAAATAAGAATTCAGAAGATAAGGCGTTAGTGAAACATTCATTTGACTCATTGAATTAGTTCATCAGCTAGATATATAAAGTAGATTGTGAATCTAACCCATCAAACCAAATTGAGAAAAAGAAAAGACCACGAAGAGCATTTCTAACCAAATGTTGTACTGGGTTTCTTACATTTATCTTGGGAGCTGAATTTATAATCATCTGTGGAAGGTTACCCTGTAACCCAATATTATAAACAGGGGTACCATTAGGATAGTACAGCCCATAGTTCCTCTCTGATGCCGGACCAGGCTTTAAATCCTCATTGAAAAGTGCAAAAACATATACATCGATTGGTACTGATGGGTTTGCTGGAGTACCTTGCCTCTCCTCTATCAAACGCAACAAATTACCGTTATATAACTCTGCATTCTGTAGTGTGGCTCCTGCTTCATCAGGATCCCCTTTAGAAGGCCAACCTGTCTCAGAAATCTTGACCTCAACATCCGTATGCCCCATTGCTTTCATTGATGAGTAAACAGCATCAATTTGAGCATATAACATATTATTATAGGTCAAATTTGTAACAGGATCAATTGTCCCCGAGTTAGGCTGGAAAAGTACATAATCCAATGGAACCTGACCTGGGTTATCTTTGTATGCAAAAAATGGGTATGCGTTTATGAGAAATGGTGAGTTGGCTAGAGAATGGAAGTTGAGAATGGGCTCAATGTATTCAGCAAGATCTGGCCGGAAAGTTCCTGAGGAAGGAGGGAAGGAATTGCCTAAGATTCCTAGGGAATGGGCGGTTGTCACATAGACTTGTTTGCTTAGCCCAAGATTTTGGAGAGCTCCATAAACGGTTTGCATTGCCGGGAGAAGATAAGACTTTAATTGAGTATCATTGCCCGTTAAGATCTCATTTCCAACAGTGATGCAACTGATTTTGGTATGGCTAATGAAGGGTTGAACATTCAGTTCAATCCAGTTTTGAGCTTTTAAAGGGTCAGTCATATTTAAAAGATACTCATTGCCAAGTCCAATGATAAAATCGATATTTGAATTGGCAAATGCGCTTAATACGTTTGGATCAGCGTCGTAAAGTTTTACTCTGCTGATGTTGAGGGATCCGAGGAGGTTCGCAACACGGCTGGGAGAGGGAAGATTGTTTGCAATTTGGCCATAGTTAATTCCAACTCCAAGGCTGACAATTGGAACTATTGAATCTGAAAAAAATTTGCAAAACATAGCAAGTTAAAAAAAAAATAATCAAAGATTACAGTAAAATTAAAAGGAGATGAAGAAAACATTGTCAGAGTAGAAAAAATGAAGAGAATTGTATGGCTAGAGAGTAAACATGAGGAATTAAGATCTAAAAGGGAAATCCAGACTAAAATAAAAAATAAAAAATAAAAATCTATTAATAATAAGCAAACATAAAAGGAATAAGAAACTATGATATCCAGATCCAAATTCAAAAATTTGACAAATCAGAGCTGATAAAATGCAAGTTATATCATTAATTACAACAAAGAATCTTAAAAATACAAACTCCTACTCTATATAATTGAAAGTTTCACTTTCCTAGTCTCCCTGACAATGGGATATCAAAAAAATAGAATTATAGCATGATACGAATACGCATCAAAAGAACACAAATCAAAGCAATGAATCTTTCATATCTCAATGTTGATAAACAAATAAAAAAAACAAAAATCCACCAAACTAATAAGCATAATAGACACAGCTACTTAAGACTTCGATTGTATCGAAAAGATTCAAAATTTTCCTACTGGATTTCTAGTCAACCAAACAGAACGAGAAAAAAAAACGAAGGCAATTGAAATCAGCATTGATTGAGAGAGTATAGAAGACGAACCAGATAGAGTGAGAAGCAAAAGAAGCATAGAGAAGATAGAATGGAGCTTCGAAGCCATTGCTTTGCTGCTCACTGATTCAACGCCGTTTCGACCTCCGCGATCCCCTAAATCACAGCCACCATGGCCGCTCCATCTTGCTATATATAGACACTTATAGATACGTGTGTATCTACACGTTGATGATGTAGACTCGCCCTTTTACTACGTGTGATTTCTTTTTTTTTTTAAAAAAAAGCGATTAGGACTCATGAACAATGGTCACCTTTGGAAATTGGGTTATTTTAGATATTTTTTTGACTACTTAATTATTTTCTAAGATAAAAGAAAAAAGAAGAAGTTATATTTAGAATAATATGTATTTTTTTTTACAGTTGAATAGATGTTTGTGAAAAAAAATAATTAATTAATATATAAGATGTGACATTTTATTTTATTGACTATTTTTGTCTTGCAAAAAAAAAAAAACTCTTTCTAAAAAGGAAAATTCTAAGGGAATGGCTTCTCTCTAGTCCAATCATGGATTGAAGGGTACTGTTGGGTTCGAAGGAGCTCACCACAGGTCTCGTTTCGATAATTCGAATCATTCAATATGTAGAACTTGTTGAATACTATATGCTTGTAAACAATGACGTTGATCGGATATCGATAGCTATGTGATCAAATCAATTTTGTATAAAAAAATAGACGGTGAAAAATAAACGGCTTACAAAAATTTAATTTGATCACATCGCTATCAATATCCGATTAATGTAATTTTTTATAAGCATATAGTACTCAATGAATTCTACACATTGAACGGTTTGGATTATTGAAATGGGCCCAGTGGTGGGTCTCCACAGGCCCAACAGTAGCCTCTAGTATCGGACTGGAGGGAAGCCATTCCCAAATTTTAATATACACACATCTTGAAAAGGGTGTACCTCATACAACATAGTTATATCATTTTCCTTTTTAGTTGTGACCAATTTTTTTCTTTAGTAATGGCAATACTTTAATTATAACTCATGAGATTTTTGATTTTGTTTCATGACGTTTGGTTATGACTTTTTTTTTTTTTTAATTGTAACTCATAAAATATTGAGTTATGTCATTTTCTTTTTTAGTTATAAGGTACATATAGTATACATCATTTGAAGGGTATGTATCATAATCTTTTCCTAAACAAGATCAGCATTTTATTCGATTTACAAATTGACAATTAACCATTTGTCTCATTTTATTTTAACACAAAAATAATGAATCACATAATTTAGATTAATAATTACTCATTGAAACTCCACCAAAACTTACTCCATAAATATTGAATAATTTATTGGTGTTTATGTCAACTTATATACATTTCGATCAATCTCACCCTAATCTGACAAAAAATAAGCCATCCATGACAGGGATTAAAAAACTCACAATAAATAATTTTTTTCAGCTTGATCTTAAAAATCTATATTATAAAACAATTATGTGATGAGCAGATCCATCGATGAGTAAAGACAACCTCAAGATCGTTTTGCTAATCTCTCTCTCTCTCTCTCTCTCTCGCTCTTTATTCAAATGAAAAGGATAACATAGTTTCAGTACAAACAAGTAGACAAACAGAGGGCATCAAGCCCTGTGAGAATTAGCAGAAACAATGTCTACAATGAGAAAAGAGGAGATAGAACTAGGAGGGTCGTCAAGGAACACCAAATGCTCCGATTGGTTGACTCCAATTTTGGTGAGTGCATCAGCACATTAATTTGCTTCTCTGGGGATATATTGGATGCAACATCTCCTGTGACAACCCGCATGAATAATATTTTATATTTAGTTAATTAAGGAAATTTGAGATTTTAATTAATCGTTATTCTAATTTAATTTGAGATTTATGAGAATTGTGAAATTTGATTCGTATAGGATTCTATTGGAAATTTATTTTGGAATTAGAAATTAAGGGTCCAAATAGTTTAAGGAAGTGAGATTAAGAAGTTGAATCAATTTAATTTTAATTACGGACCCATTTAGGAGTTAATTAAATATTCGATTCAGTTTGTATTGAATAATTAAAGTCAAGATATATTTCAAAAAGCTCTTGAGCTTTTCGAAAATTCATTCAAAGAGCTGGAAGGAATAATTTGAATAAGGAACTTTGTGAATTCAAAAAAGAAGAAAGAATATGATACCTATTTTTCGTTTCCACATATTTGCTGTAGCATATCTATTCGTCAAAACAAATTTTTAAAAAACTTTTTTGGATTAGTTTTCTTAGCCTGTATTAATTAATGTATAACATCAAGTACTATTATTCCATAATATTGCTTTACTTATAATATTCATTCTCACCCAAGCAAGAAATGTAATATAAATTCTAGGCCTAGTTTGGGAAGATTGAAAAAAGACAAAAAGACAAAAAGTCACTATCTCTGAATGAGAACAAAAAAAGTTTAAGTACATAAAGGAAATTTGATGGCCATTAATTTTCAAAAAATATATAATATTTTTAAAGTACATCAGAATACTTAAAGTACTACTTAATTACTAGTAATATACATACTTATCAAATGTTATTTATTTAAAAATATACATTTTTTTAATCTTAAATAATATTTGATAATCACATAAACATGTGTCTTTCATGTACTCTCCATTTATCTTTTGGACAATTGTTTGAGAAATTAAGCAATTTTCTTTTTGTCCAACTCCTCTCCATCTATGTTTTGTTATGATAGAATTGTAAGCCAGGTTATTGAATTAATTTAATTTTTATTATAATTAATGTGAAATCATAATCAAATAAAATAAATAATTCAAATCGTTTAAAGTGAGCTCATGTAGACCTCACATAACCCAACAACACCTCCACTCTACTATGGATTAAGAAGCCAATTCAATATAAAAATTATAATATTCTATTTTACAAAAGTGATTAGAATATTAGAATATTGTAACAGTAACAGTTTTATAATTAAGAAATGAGTTTTGTAATTCAGGTCTAAAAATTAGATCCACTTTCTAAATTCAGATCTCGTTTGGGAACATACTATTTTAATTATTTTTTTATTTTTTGGCTAGAATATGAGATAAAAAAAACTAGTATATTTGGAATGAAATTTGATTTTTTACGAAAAGATGTGCAAAAAGTAGAGAAAAAATAAAATCTTTGACTTTTTTGTATGAATTGTTGACTTTTTAGCTAATTTAGTAACCTATTAACTTTTTAGCTAAAAGGAAGGGTACCCAAACGAGACCTTAGTCGAGAAAGGGTTTGGCTCAATGAAAGGATCATACAACTAAAAAGACTTATTACTTCAAAGATCGGATATTTGAATTTTATAAAAGCTAAGTATTCCAAATCTTGAAATTATTAGAGATTTATCTGGTCGTTAAGTTTAGGACTTTGGGATTAGTAGACGTATGTGTAAACTAACCCAGACAACCGGTTAATGAAATAAAAAAACTTATTTAGTTGATTGATTATTTAGTAGTTATGGTGGATTCATTTCTCTCTGACTTAACTTCCCCAAAATAATTTCTCCGTTTAGTTGACTTATTTTTATTTTTAGCAAATTTCGTTTTAAAAATTATTTCAAAACACTTTCTATATCTATTTCTAGATCCATCTCGATTAGAAGATCTTCAAAATAATTTTTTTTTAAAAAAAAATCCACTAAAGAAAGAAAAAATCTAAAAAAAAGTATATATATATATATTTATTTATTTATTTTTTAGTGAATTTTTCTTTTTAATTTTCTAAGTCATCTAACCGAGACATATTTAGAAAATAAATAAAAAAATGACATAATTTTTTAAAAAAATTCATTAAACACAAAAAAAAAAAAAAAAAATCGAACTTATAAGCTAGTGCCAAAAGAGTCGTAGTCATAAGATTCATCTTCGTAAAGGTGGAAAAACAAAACTTTGCAGGTAATTTTTTAATTCGTTAAATTAATGAAAAATAAGAAAGATAAGAGTAGGTAACACGAGAGCGAAACAATATACGCTTTTACAAGTATTTGCTAGCTAATAAATGATTTAAGTTACAAAGTTGTAGCAGGTGACACCCCTCAAGACAATCATATAACCAAATGTAAAATCTGTTGCACTAAGCTAATCCATTATTAAATGTTTGTTAAAGAATAGTATTCCCCACTTATTATTGTTCAACTGCCCATAATTTCACATTATTGTCAAAAAATATTTATCTATTTCTATTTTCTCAATGAATTACCTTTAAAGGAGGTTTGGTAAGTAATTGTTTTCATCTATAATGAATCCGGTGAAGTACAAGTACATAATTTCCCTGATCCACTGGTGGGAAGCAAAATTTAGCATTACGTAACACAAAATGACGGTAATGAAAGTTCTCCCATGATTGACTGACTCCCTGCAGATAAACACAATAAAGAATCAATCGCATGAGATTTGCAAGGGTTAAAAACTACTTTATCACTGTGTTCTGAAAATCAAATCATAACTAAAAACCGTGGCGTGTTAATGAGTCTTAACAACTTATGTATGCCAAAGCATAACCGCTTTAAGGATGATGAAAGCAAGTTTAGTTGAGCTTCAGTTAATGTTTCTTCGTGATGCATTAATAATGTTTCCTCATCATGTTTTATGGTCTCTTCTTGTTAGATTATTAGGGTGAGCTAAACCTAAAAGTTGGATGGTCTACTGTTGTTAGGACCACAAAGAGACCGCTTTCTAGTCGGCAGAGATCAACAAATCTAAGTTTGTTTCACCAACTGGGGTTTCAAATATGGTGGTAGCTAGCCAGTCACTATGTGAATTTATTTAGTGGATTTTGTCTCTGTCAATCTTATCCTCTTCAGGGCCATGCTGATGTAAGAAATACAATGGAAACATGGACTCCATGATGTTACGTGTTCTCAGAAACATTTTTCACACAACAGATGAGGGGATTTTGCAGGATAATTTTTTTATGAACAACAGCCTTCCCCACAAGAGACTTTAGACGTCAGATCATTCATTATTTTTCAACTTTTTGAAATAGAGCAATGAAAAAAGCTAACAGAGAAAAAAGAGATGAGATTATATGTAAGTAAGCTTGAAATCGACAGGGATGACACGGTGCCTACATATTCCCTATGGGGAATAGAGAAAAAGAGATGGAGACGAAGAGCATGACAACTTCATAGGTCAGCCTCACAACCAAG